CATGAAATCATGATCTGAGAAGCCTTTACCAAAAAATGCAGTCAAATAACTTCACAAAAAGTAGATTCAGCTTGCCTAAAACGCAATTATCTTAGATGACCTAGGTTGACCTTGACCCTGACCTTGACACCTGTACATCGTCGAGCAACATGTTCCATGATAGGAGGGAGATAAGACTGGCAAAAAAGGCCGAAATCAAGGTGTCAAAAGCTCACAAGGCCCATGGCAAACGCAAGATGTTGGGAATTGGCCATTTGGGTCATGACATGACCTGAAAAACAAGGTCATATCTCCGAAACCAAAAATCACGGAAACTTGAAATTTTCAGTGGACATCAAGAAAGGATAGAGGAGCCGCTATACGAAAAATCAGCCTTCTAGCTCTAAAAATGTTGAGTGCAGAGCAGAAAGACTACCTGGGGGGGGTGGCAACCAACCACCCTCCCCCCCCCCCCCCATGTGCGGGCGAGGGTTAACCCTCGCATGTGCGCGGCGTTTTCCAGCTTCTAATGTGTAGGGGGGGGGGGGTCGGTTGGACCCCTCCTTGCCGTTTGGCCCCTGATCGAGCTAGAGCTTCGCGGAAAAAACGAGCGTGTTGCCCGTGACCAGAGGAAGCCGATGATACCCAATTTTAAGGTCCTAGGTCATTGGTTGACCTTCCAGGTCAGGTCAATGACCCAAAGTCGGGAAAATCGGGACCTATTAGAAAGTCGTAAAGTGTGGCTGCTAAGGGGTTTTTCGGGGTGCTGATCACGAATATCGTGTTAGTTTTGATCAGAGATGATGTCTTTAAGCATTTAGACCAGGTCGGGTCAGGTCAGGTCAGGTCAACCAGTAGGCGTCGTGACGGGTATTCGTAGTACGTGTCAACCGCCTCTGACAGCTTCGTAACATGCTACGAAGGCACCAAAACTACTTCGTAAATGTTCAAATGGTTGCTAAATTCGAATTCAGCTCCAAAAACTAGCCTAGAAACATGTAAAACTCGAAAAAGTGAACCGAGGTCACCCGAGGTCACCAAAGGTCAATGACCTGACCTGACCTGCAGATGATCTTGACACCCACCCTAATGCATGGGAGCAACATCAAATCACATGTTTGAACGTTTGAAACCACGAAAAGCTTGCAAACGCACGGCTAATGCGAGCCGACGTACGCCGAATCGCGATTCCGGCCAAACATGGTCTCGGAAAAGAGGTCACAGGTCAAAGGCCATTTGGGTCAGGGTCATGAAATTTTCAGGGTAGGTGTAAAATTGATCAATGCGAGGGTACTGAAAGTTTCGTCGCGATCGGCCGCTTTTTACGCGAGTTATTCGCGAAAAACCATGGGGGGGTCCATCCGACCCCCCCCCTACACATGCGAGGGTTAACCTGACCCAAGGTCACCATTATGAAGAGAAACAATAGATAGAAGTTGTTAACAGTTAACACTAATGTTTTTATGCAACAGGCTGTTACCTGCACCAAGTTTCAAACTTATCACAGAAAAACTACCATCTCCTATTATTGTCACAATCTCAAATTTCATAGAAGCAAAGCTATAGCCACCGAAGTAACGTAATAATTTAGTAATTAAAAAATCATCGGCCGTTTTAGAGTGCATGCGGATACAGGAATGCAATCATATCTCTGGGCCCTCCGCAGACGAAACCGTCGCCGGAACCGTCTGCTATGGTTATCGGAGGACCGCCCGCGCCGGGCTCTCACTGTTCGGCACATTATTCCGGCCGTGCGGCGCCTATGGTCGGGCCGGATGTTGACATAATAGGCCATCACAGCAGTGGCACGGGGCCGTGGAACTGACACTGCTCTCCATAATCAAGTCAGTCCAACGGCAGCTTTGTATTTGTAGCAAGTTGCATTTCGAAGCGCTCTGGCTGACATCAGCTTTAGGTATGCAAGGGAGGACAATGGACATGGCTCCTGTCAGCTGCTGTGAGTGCTGGTGTGCAGGGGAGGACGTGGCTGTGGCTGCCGGTATGTGAGGACATGGCTGCACAGTGCACATTGGCTGCCGGTATACGAGATGAAATGGCTGCACATTAGATGCTCTCATCTGCTAGTACGGGAGGGAACGGCTGCAGATTGGCTGCAGTCGGCTACCGGTACGGGAGGCAATCATGCAATGGCTGCAGATTAGCTGCCTTCAACTGCCCGCATGGGAGTAAATGGTTGAACATCGACTGCCGTCAGCTGCCGGCGCGCCGTAGCGAGTCCGCTGCGCTGGCACACGGCACTGTCGCCCGCCGGATGGAGCTTCTGTCAGAGCCGCCCCAGCTCGAGCTGGCCAACTGCCCTGTCATTGGACGTGCTCGTGTCACAGGGGTCGGTATACGGGTCACTGCTTGCGTCACAGGGGTCGGTATACGGGTCACTGCTGGTATTACAGAGGGTCGGTATACGGCCCACTGCTGGCATTATGCAGGGGGTCGGTATTGGGTGACTGCTAGTATTACAGGGGCTAAGGGTCATTGCTGGTTTTGCAGGGGGCGGTACACGGGTCACTTCGGGGCTTTATATATACATGCCACCATGGTATTACAGTGTGCCAGTAGAGGGTCAATAATGTCACTTTAGGTCATATGGATCGCAGTTGTTACAGGGAGCCAGTATATGGGTCACTTAAGTATCACAGTGGTGTCTGCTTACGGGTTATGGAAGTTACAGTGGGGTACAGGCATTCATCTTCCTTACCACATTTTATTTCCTCCGTTGCTGAAGTGCATGTCAATTGTCGAGTCCCTTGGTTTTCAATGCCAACACTATGACCCTGACTTGGATGCGTCCTCGCCATTACTCACTTGCCGTGGCTCCCATCAGACATCTTGGACTATGTGATGCACCATCGCCCGTCAGAGATGGCACGAGTGACAGCGGCGCGGCTGCCGGAGTGAGGTTCCCGCCCCTCCTCTCTCCCTCTCTCTCTCTCTCTCTCTCTCTCTCTCTCTCTCTCTCTCTCTCTCTCTCTCTCTCTCTCTCTCTCTCTCCACGACTCTACTCTCTTCCTCTGTCCTGTTCTGTCATGCCCCGTCTCTCCTCTTTGTCTCATCCCCTCAGGGCCACGTCAGATGGTGGTCATAGCCGGTGTCACTGTGTCACCTGTCACGAGATAGCCCGTCACCCATCATCAGTTGGTCCGTCACCCGACATAGGCCAGTCAGCAACCTTTTATCAGATGGTCTGTCATCTCTTGTCCCTCATTCCTATGTTTGTTTGTTTTTAAAGCCGTGTACCTATTTGTGTTGTATTTTTCTGTCATCTGCAGTTAACCGCCACTCGTCCCCCACCATCCGCCATCCATTATCCATCATACATCATACATTATCAGTCATACATCATCCGCTATCCGTCTTTCATCATCCAGCGTCAGTCATCCATTACCTGACACTGTGACAGAGCTTCCCATCCGGCACCATAACGAGACTCCCCGCCAGAAGCCGGCTGATCGACATATGGCTATTGCCGGGCCGTTTATTTTCTCTGAAAGGTCATGCAATTTTACGTCGCAAAATAAACGATGTCCGAATTCACAACAAACGTTCCATAGCTATTAAACTGGCAGCTTCCTGCTTGGATTAGGATGATGACTGTTTTCCAGATGGTGGCGTGACGGGCCGGCTGAACGCAATGACGCTCACCTAGTCGTCTCATTCGCTCGCTTCATTTGACTGATAACTTTATGTGATAATGTGCCAACTCCACACTTGTCTCCCAGGAGAGACTCGTAGGAGTCAGCGCAAGAAAAACAAGGCAGAATAGAAGCTAGGCTCACGGGTCACAAGGCTACGTGTCACAAGTCATCAACAACGACAGCGACAACAACAACAACAACAACAACGACTCTCAGAAGACCAACACTGCACCAGATGCCGTCCTCTAGGAGACAGCTATGTAACAGTGCCGATATCGACGCGCTACTGTCACCAGTGACAGGCTGTGGTGACAGTTCTCCGGACTGTGATAGCCGTGGGTGACAGCCACCAGCCCCGGTGGGCCACTAGCCAACAGAGCGGACCGTGTGCGTATTTACGTGTCGTGTGTCCAATTGGTTAGACGGCCGTGACCTGCGGAGAAAAGTCGATATAGAAGACGCAGCAGTGACACCGGAGGGAGAGAGAGGGGGAGGGAGAGAGAGAGAGAGAGAGAGAGAGAGAGAGAGAGAGAGAGAGAGAGAGAGAGAGAGAGAGAGAGAGAGAGAGAGAGAGAGAGAGAGAGAGAGAGAGACAGACAGAGACAGAGACAGACAGAGAGAGAGAGAGAGAGGAGCGGCAGGGTGCAGAGAAGAGGAGTCAACCACAGAATGTAGACTGCTGACTGCTGAGTATATGGTGTTTGATGTGTAAGCATTATGATAATCGGCATTCGCAGTTTTCTGCAGCATGGAAAACAAGGAGAGGCGTGCGATCCGTCACTGAGGTATGGGTGAACGTACTTCTGAGGGAAAGAGGACATGTTTGCGATCGACTCTTACAATGGATAGAATAGGGAGAGAAATTTTAAAAGGAAAGAATAGAATGAGTATCGTGGCATTTGGAGAAGGTCGCGTCGAGTCAGCGCAGTCCCTATGTCACCGTCACCGGGTGCCCTCTGTGTGCAGGTTGCAGAACGCCCTGCCACCGAGATTGAGAGCCTGACATGGTGCCAACTTAAACACGACTCTCCCAGCCCCCCCCCCCTCCCTCCGCTCCGTCCTCATCCCTTCTGGCGCTGTCAACCCAGGTGGCCTTCCAGAAACAGCGGTCATACCGTTTATTGGCGTTTAGCGTTCATAGGCTACTGTAGGTAAAGGCTTTTCACCGTTGTTAATTGCAAATATATGGCTTTGTTCGTTTATAAGCTGTATTTGCAACGGTTTGCAAACAGATGAACATGTGGAATGAAAGACAATAAACCTGAAACAAATAAATGTTTGTCTTAATGCATTTCAGCCATGTTTGACTGAAGGCTGAAGTTGCCTTTCTTCGTCTACGCCCGGACCGGGGCTTCCATAAACAGGACAGGCACAAAAACTGTTTCCTTTATTTTAGTAGAACGCGGCTTATTGAAACACAGATATAAGGTCAAGGTACTGTTATAACAGCGATACCGACACACGCTCTTCATCGTCCATACGTCGGTGATCACTGGCGCTCGCCTAAACTAAAAATACGCTCAAGTACGGCCCTCTCGGTTGGCATCAAATACAGCTACCAGCACCGGTCCCCACTGGCTACCTTCATACGGGAGGATGTTCAGTAATGTTTTAGCGAAAGTCGGCGGAAAAAAGGAGAGACTGGCGTGGCTCTACTAGGAGGCAGGATTCCACCAGCATTCACGTGGAAACGCCTTTTCAACAGTGTGCGATGGTGAATGCATGCAGGGTCGCTGCACCTTTGCTTTGTACTAATCAACCATTCATTTAGATACATTTGCTACTCTGACAGGACGTTTCCATGGTCCATACTATACACACTATCATATGCACCACAATATGCAACATTCAGTGCACAATATACAGCTATTGAGAACACTGTGGCTACATCTCACGAGATGTAAAGAGCGCAAAGCTTTTAACATGACACATGACAAAGAGGCATGCGACAAAGATAAAACATAATCACACCGCTAAGTCGAGTCAAGGCGAATGGGCGATCTCACGAAAACGCATCACTTGCGATATAGGCGGAGTATGACAAAGTACACGCCACCATTTATTTCCCAATTTAGTATCGGCTGGCGTATGTAAGGCGGTCAGTGGGGTCGGAAGGAGCACTGACGCACGTGGGCAGCCATCTCCTGTAGACAGAGCACGGTAGCGCAGCCGTGCTCGTGGTATTCGCAGTGGATCGGCCGGAAGTCGCACACGCTCTCGTGGTGGGGCTTCTCCTTGAGTAGCACCAGCTCTGCGCAGCCCTGTAACGACCCGGAAAACAATGACGGATAGTGGCAGGACACCGGGAAATGGAATGGAGACGGCGTCCGACCAGCAACGGGGAACAAAACAAATATTCGAATACGCAAATAGTGATGACACCAGCGCAAGAAGTTTAATGTTGTTTGTAATGGTATTTGCGTTTAAGCACAAAGCACGCAGACAGCTTATTTTTCGAGCTGCGCGATTCGATTCGAACTATCGACCAGCATTTTTTGTCACTCGTTAGGCATTTCATGCTCTTTTCTAAAAAAAAACATACGCAAAGCGGCAACTATACAATGCGACATCTGCACCTATGTATCTGCACCTAAATGCTATGATAGTATGAAAATCGGCACAGTGATAAGAAGTATTCGCAGCTAAGTAATAGCTAAAAAAAATACCAGACAACGTGTTTGATTCAATGTCACCTCTTACTTTTACCGTGACTTTAAAACTGGAAACTTTATGACCCAACAGTAAAACAAAAAAAAATAGGAAAATTAGAGAAACGTGGCAATTGTACAGACGAACTAAATATACGATGACATAGCGACTGATACCCACCTTTCTCGCGTGTTGGCAGGGGAACTTGATGAGCTGGCTCATCTGCTCCATCATTATGTTGGTCTGGTTGGTGACAGCTTGTTTACAGAGCGGGCACACTCCGCGCACCCGGGGCCTGCACGCGCCGCACAGTGGGTGGCCTTTCTTGCACTGGGGGATCGGCGGCCGCAGGAAATCGCTACACACTGGACAGGTGAACAGCTTCAGCAGGGCCGGGTAGTCGACCGGAGGGCTCGGACGGGCCGGAGACACGCTGCCGTTCACCGGAGTGCCGTTCTGAGCCATCGGAGACGTCGGGACGGCGGGATTTTAGAGGCTCCAACGGACACCGCTGGGCTGATCTTCACTCACTGGTCCTCAGCAAGTCAGCTACCTAGCTGGTTCTGTGAGGGGCTGAGCTTAGTGACTGCTTATTGCATGTGAATATGTATGCCTGATCTTCATTCAGTACGACACACTGACGCGCTCTGCAGCGGTCCCAACACTGACGGACCGAGCGGCCGACGGTGACACAAACCCCCCGAGGCTATAGTTGGGGTCACGTGACCATCCGACGGGGACCACCGACGCCGCTGGCTGCCGCACCGAGCGGCTGTCGCAAACGACGCGGCCAGAGACGGGCGACGGGCGTGCCAGGGTCACCGTTTTGGGCTCATGTTCGGAGAGAGAGAAAGAGAGAGAGAGAGAGAGAGAGAGAGAGAGAGAGAGAGAGAGAGAGAGAGAGAGAGAGAGAGAGAGAGAGAGAGAGAGAGAGAGAGAGAGAGAGAGAAGGGGGAGGGAGAGAGACGAAGAGAAGAAGAAAGAGGCTGTGCTTCATAAGGCTAGATTTTTCTTCAAATAGTTAAGTCAGGACCACCGCAGGATTGTATTTACCTTAGTTTAAAGCAGACTGCTATATTCTAATTTTCCGGTGCAATTCAATAGTAGTTAAGCTGCATTTTGATTTCAAAGTTAACGGTGCACATCATCAATTATGCCTCATGGACTATTTCACACAATAAATCAAATCAACTGTTATGTAACAGAGAAGTTAGATTGCATAAGTCATGCACATTAATGACATCCGCTTCCAAGAGCTCATTGAGCGTATGATTGTTGATTTAGCTATGATCTGACAGAGACAGCTATTATTGTACCGGAAGCTGCTGATGAATTGGGCTTTGGCAGGCTGCCGACTGATCAGAGCGTTGTGAGTTCAACATAAAATATACACCAGTAGGCATAAAATATATGTACCAGTAGGCATGCACTAGACAGTGATCGTGAGGCTGTACGCCGTATATTGCCAGTAACCTCGCCGTTGTTATGGAGAACACTTGAATGAGATTAAATCTAATGGGCTATTTTGTGTTAAGTAGTGGTGTATATCTGTTTCAACACTACCTTATATGAAAGGTATGTCCAGCATCACGTTACGTTTCTCTGATTAATGCAGGGCTCCAGTCCAACAGTAGTCCTTGAATAATCGGTCGCCAGCCGTGCGCACGTGTGTCTCGGAATTAGACGATGAAAGTTTAATGTCGGCACCTCTATTGTTATCAGCGTTATTGTTAGACCTCGGCAAAGGCTGCGTGCACCCATCCAAAGTCAAGGAGGGGGGGGGGCAGTAAGTCGCAGGTACATATGCGTTTAAGTATACTGCGTCATGTTAGATAAAGTCAAACTTGCCCAGCGATACCAATTAAATCACGGAAATCCAGCGGAGCTCAATGCCTAAATAGCTGAGCATTTGTTGGAAAGTCCGATTGATCGTATGTAAAGGAATCAAAGCACCCTAGGTCATTAATCTAAAACAAATAAATCCGAACTGCGTGAAGCCATGGCTGGGTTGTTTCGAAAAATATATACGAGTGTGACGATCTACTGACGATAAACGACTTTTAACGACTGAAGCAACTGCAAGCCAAACCAGGGTGCTCTCACGACAAAAGCACTGTCACGCTTACAGAAGTGGTTATTTAGTATGGGCAGACACAAAAGTACGCGAGGAGGAGCTTGAACACATACCTCGGTATACAGAGGCTTATATTCGACATGTCTGCATGGTCTCTCACAGCCAGAACCCGTGTCTCCCTGAGGCCTTACAGCACAAAATATGCAATATGCAATACGCGTGTTTGGAGGACTTGGTAGTTACTATGCTCTCGCCTTCCTGCATGGTTTGCTTCGGTACAATTAGCTAAAATGCTACAGATATATCCAAGTAATAGAATCACATCACATTAATTTAGAGATCGTTGACATGTCGTGAATCTAAAGAATATCAAATAACAGCGAATGTTACGTTTTACTGAAACGAGATGAAGTCTGTTAATTAACTACTTACGAAATTATTAAATAGAAAAAAGCTCATTAAGCACGGTGCAAGACGATATTCTGTGTACATTTAGTGTTGACAAAACATTAATATTTACCTCTTATATTTACCTTTGAAAGTGACCAAAAATACCCCGATGATTTTAAGACATAGGACTAAATGACATTAATTCATATAACACAAGCTCGTCGTTACGAAAAAGCTGGCATTATAAAACTATTGCTTAATAATAGGCAGATTTTAGAATTATATTGCAGCATCTATTTGTTACAGCTGCCCCTGCGCTGTCAGAAAAAATATCTCGAAAAATATAAAAGCGCAACATACCATGTCACCCCTTGTCTTACGATGTCCTGAGTTGCTGCACCGTCTGAAGGCCACTGAGTGCTCCGGGAAGTGTTGGAGGGCTGCGTGAGGTCGGCGTTAAGAAGGTGTCGGGGAGGGGGCAAAGCGCGGGGCACCGGCGGCGCTCGGGGGCGGAGCGAGACGTCCACATATCGCTCCTCACTCCTGTGACCGCGGCAGAGGAGGACGGCGCGCCGGGTTCAGCCGAGAGATTTCCTTCAGGTTACGTCATAAAACAGGTGGGTGCGAGGTGGATCTTCTTAATGGGCTGATGCGAGGCGAGAATCTGATGAAATTGACTTTATCTGCGGTAGGTTTACTAAACCGTGAGCGAGTAGCATCGAAATTTATTGGCTGAATCAATTGGCTTATTTGGGGCTTTCCCTTCTCCCACTGCGTCTGAAATTGACAAAATTGTGGCGTATTCCGCGCAAAGAATGAAATCCCAACAACTGTTATCGGAAAAGTGTGTTTTAAATTGCACAGAAACTCATAAAATGCGAAATTCAAACACTGGAATTAAAGTTAAGTGTCTGATGTACTGGTACAATTAATTCAAATTATCTTCGATCACTTCTCAATAAATGGAGCAGTGGATTGTTCTTATATTTAGTTAGCGTCAGGCTGTATATAACTACTATACTAAAATTAGAATACCAAAATATATTTAAATCAATTTCCGGTCGTACCCACTATCATGCAATCTGCAGTTATTTAGATCTTTAGTCTGTTCTTCCCGCTGCAGTGAGGCAGTCGTACGGGTTTCCGTTCGACGTACCGCCGTACACCCGTGTACGACGGCACAGTATCCTACACAGTGAATTCAGCGTCCATATGCGTGTGACGTTTTTACAATGTCCTGTAACAATGTTGATGAGCTGTTTGGGAGTATGATTAGCATGAATTGGAGGAAATTCTTGTCGCTTAGTTTCATATATCTATATTACTATTCCAACAGAATCCGTCTGTGAGTCTGTCTGTCTGTGTGTCCGCACGCCGTGTAGTAGGTTCAATTAACCTCGCCTACAGGGCAGACGGTACGGCACAGGGGGCTGAAATTTGCACACCTTATAGGTGACAGAACGGGTCAACGCCTTTTCTAGGTTCCGACTCGCTGGGGTGCACGGTTCGCGCGTGGGGCGCGCCGGAAGAACGCCAATGAAATTTTGATCGGTTCGTAGATCTTCATTGAGAGCCGGGGTCGACAAACTTTGTGAGCTAAATGCATGCCGATCGGTGGCGGGTGCCTCGCATTGGCGGATGGGCAAGTTTTTAATTTGAATATAAAGTGGCGAGAGATTGTGTAGATTTTCGTTGAATGGCAACAGTTTGTGATAGGAATTTACAAATGCACCGCGTTTGTCGCAATGCGCCACAATTATCTGAGGGCGTCATTTTTGCCGCAAATCGCACAGTTTTGTCGAATATGGTTCGATATGGGTGCAATTTGGTGCAAAGATGCATGCTCAGTCACCGGGTGAAAATGCGCCGCGTTTGCCGGAATGCGCCACAATTATCTCAGGGCGTCATTTTTGCCGCAAATCGCACAGTTTTGTCAAATATGGTCCGATATGGGTGCAATTTGGTGCCAAGATACATGCTCAATCGCCGGGTGAAAATGCGCCGCGTTTGCCGCAATGCGCCACATATGCCACAAAGCGCCATTTCCGACAAATACGATTAAGCGTAATGGAATGGCACGAATAGGGGCAGGGCTGGGAACACTTTAAGTCTGATATTTTGGTACTGATTGGATCCAATTATTCTGTGACCTGACATGACCCGGCGGTGTTGGTAGGGGTAGGGGTAGGGTAGTGGTAGGGGTAGGGTAGGGGTAGGGGTAGTGGTAGGAGTAGTAGTAGGGGCAGGGGTAGTGGTAGGGGTAGTAGTAGTGGTAGGGGTAGTAGTAGGGGTAGTGGTAGGGGGTAGTGGTAGGGGTAGGAGTATGGGTAGTAGTAGTGGTAGGGGTAGGGGTAGATGTAGTGGTAGGGGTAGGGGTAGGGGTAGTGGTAGGGGTAGTGGTAGGGGTAGTGGTAGAGGTAGGGGTAGGGGTAGGAGTAGGGGTAGGGGTAGTGGTGGAGGCAAAAGCAGAACAGTGGCCCGGGCTGATCCCAGCTGGACGAGAGGTGACCTATGTGACCTGGCCTGACCCAACGTGACCGGGGCTGACCCCTTTGACCCGTATTGACCCCGTATCACCCAAATTTCATCCAACAACGCCCTCAGAACAGTTCTTTTTTAAATTCTCTTCACATTTCCGTCCATATCTATGCTTCTAGACGACACATCGATTTGAATCGAACACCATTCGAAAGCAAATTGGCTGGTGCCGCAATTTTTTCCTACCACGCAGCAAAGCAAGTGGCGCAGCCGCTTGTCTATACTACTATTTGAACAGGATCCATCTGTCTGTTTGTCTGTCCGCCACGCCGTGTAGTGGGTTCAATTTAGCCGGCCTACAGGGCAGACGGTATATCGTAGGGGGTTGAAAGTTGCACACCTTCTAGGTGACAGAGCGGGTCAGCGCCTTTTCTAGGTTTCCACTCGCTGGGATGCACGGTTTGCGCGTGGGGCGCGCTGGAAGAACGCCAATGAAATTTTGATCGGTTCGTAGATCTTCATTGAGAGCCGGGGTCGACAAACTTTGTGAGCTAAATGCATGCCGATCGGCGGCGGGTGCTTCGCATCGAAGGATGGTGAAATTGATTTTGATAAATGGTGGCGAAAATATGTGTTGATTTTCGTTCAATGGAAACAGTTTGTGATACAGTTATAAAAACGCACCGCGTTTGCCGCAATGCGTCACATTGGTCACAAGGCGCCA